CTTTGTCAACAAACTAAATTGCTTTCCTACATAAAATACAGAAGTTCCATCTAGCAGCTCATTGGAGTGGTTCTTCATTGGTGGACCTGTGGTTGCTGTCATTTTCCTACTGGCTCTCATTGCATACATAAAAACACGCCGTGCGATAGGTAAAAGGAACTTTGAGAAGGTGTGATAGGTTACCCAATGAAAACAAAATGTTTTGATACGGCAAATTGTGGCTTTTTACATGTCAGTGTTTAGGATTATAAAGGAGCTATTTTTATCAGGTCACATTCTGCATTTCCAGAACTGACATCGAAGGTCACTTTTCCCTCCCTCAAGCCCATCAGCTAATCTAATCACAAGGAGGTTATAAATTATATCCAGTTAATCACCATGGCAAGCCACCTTATTCCTTGTTAGTTTTAGTCATAGTCTAAGATAAGTTACATGTGACTTTTGAAACGAGTCGTAAGCTTTGACTAAGTTATTGATGCAGTAAATGGTTTGAACCCGGGGGTAACATGTGAAGGTGTAGTCTGATCGTCCGGGTGAGTGTAGTCCTGAGAAGGACTGTTGTCGGTGGCAGTGACTGACGTTTCGACAACCTGTGCGGAAGTCATCATCAGAGTCAAGTGAGTGATTGTTGTCAGTAGAATGTTCTTATTCCAGTTCGTGTGAAATGATCGGTTGGTTTTGCCGTGATGTTATTGGCTGTAAGACTCAAGTGACGTAAGTCGTTCGTGATTGGTCTGTTTCGGTCTGTCGGTAAAGCTAGGTTGTTCTTTTTCGGTCGTTTGTGATGTTTATGTCGTGAATGAGTCGTTTGTATGGGGCGGGTAGTTGTTGACATCTGTTTAGGGGAGTCTGTTCTAAGTTAGTAAACCAGCTTTCCAGAGTCAGTCGTTGAAAATAGTCAGTGCTGTAGGTTAGGCATTGCGCAGAGTCCCAGTCAATGTTGTGGTTGGTAAGTCGATGGTGTTCAGCAATGTGATTGCTGACATCACCTTTCCTCGTCGCCCGTCTGTGTTCAGTCAGTCACTGCTTAGTCTGTGTTTAGTACAGCACTGACTATTTTCAACGACTGACTCTGGAAAGCTGGTTTACTAACTTAGAACAGACTCCCCTAAACAGATGTCAACAACTACCCGCCCCATACAAACGACTCATTCACGACATAAACATCACAAACGACCGAAAAAGAACAACCTAGCTTTACCGACAGACCGAAACAGACCAATCACGAACGACTTACGTCACTTGAGTCTTACAGCCAATAACATCACGGCAAAACCAACCGATCATTTCACACGAACTGGAATAAGAACATTCTACTGACAACAATCACTCACTTGACTCTGATGATGACTTCCGCACAGGTTGTCGAAACGTCAGTCACTGCCACCGACAACAGTCCTTCTCAGGACTACACTCACCCGGACGATCAGACTACACCTTCACATGTTACCCCCGGGTTCAAACCATTTACTGCATCAATAACTTAGTCAAAGCTTACGACTCGTTTCAAAAGTCACATGTAACTTATCTTAGACTATGACTAAAACTAACAAGGAATAAGGTGGCTTGCCATGGTGATTAACTGGATATAATTTATAACCTCCTTGTGATTAGATTAGCTGATGGGCTTGAGGGAGGGAAAAGTGACCTTCGATGTCAGTTCTGGAAATGCAGAATGTGACCTGATAAAAATAGCTCCTTTATAATCCTAAACACTGACATGTAAAAAGCCACAATTTGCCGTATCAAAACATTTTGTTTTCATTGGGTAACCTATCACACCTTCTCAAAGTTCCTTTTACCTATCGCACGGCGTGTTTTTATGTATGCAATGAGAGCCAGTAGGAAAATGACAGCAACCACAGGTCCACCAATGAAGAACCACTCCAATGAGCTGCTAGATGGAACTTCTGTATTTTATGTAGGAAAGCAATTTAGTTTGTTGACAAAGATAATCAGTGTCGTGAATTATCAGGGTATAAAAGTAAAGGGGTACAATTTCAAATCTATTTGTCTCGGCAGAGTAAGGCAGATAGATGATAAGAAGAAGAAAACAAGGAAGAAGCATAATATTTTTACCATTGACAGAAGGAGAGAGGGATGGGTTGATGGTAACAAATATCCAGTACAGTACAACGGGAAATGACTTTAAAATACAATGCAACTTAAACACTGACCAGCTAGTTGTCTTCGTGCCATTATGTTTACCATTGTATCAGCGGATTTGCTGCCAGCTTGGTTGAACGCCTCACAAGAATATTTACCGCTATCACCAGGCTGAGTATCTGATATGGTGATATTACTCTTCCCTTTTTCTGTTTTGACTATTGCGTTTTGAATGTTTGTGGCACCATCTTTTTTCCAAGTTACGTTTTGAGCTTTCTGGAACAGGCAAGTAAGTTTGAGTGTACCTCCTTCCAATATGGAATGTGGCTCTTTTGGAAAGATTTCGACGGTGGGTAGTTCTATAAGGACAAATATGGGACGCCCGCTATGACTATGACACGTACTTGAGAAAGAATAAAAGAACCAAGAGAGATCTTAAGGGTAACTGATGTAAAAATAAAAAAAAAACACTGACTCCTTTTAATAATTTTGTTTTTGTTTTTGTGCGATTGCTATAAGACTGATTAAAAAGCCCGTTTGACCAGCACCTTAACCACATAAATGTGAGAGTTTTCGTTATCAGTTATTACACCATTTATCAGTATAAATTTACTAACTTCTACTAATCTGCAATTTGATTGGCAATGATGCTCACTAAAGAGTAACATCAACCTTAGAGTAGAAAAGGAAACAATCCTAAGGAATGTAAATTGAACAGCTACCCGAATCACAAGGTATGTTATCGTAACAAATCATATAGTTACCTCCACGTGTGAGATTCTGCTACTGTCTCTAGCCTCGTTTTAATTCAATGATAAATTGAAAATTTCAAGGAGATAAATAGAAAAAAAACCAAGCAATGGAAGAGTTTTCGAACTTAAAAGTTGAGGTTCTAGTTTACAGCAATGACCTTATGGTAACACCAGTTCACCTTTTACATCCAATGTCACAGAAGAGCGAGCCACAGTTCCAAGCTTGTTAGTTGCTTCTCACCAATATTTACCACTGTCCTCTTCCCCAAGCTCAGTAATAACAAGCTTACTCTTTGTCTCATATAGTCGGGTATCTATAACTGCTCGTTCTTGTAATGATTCTCCATCTTTTTTCCAAGTTATCTTGACGGTTTTTTCGTTGACTTTGCAAATCAATGTGAGGACTTCTCCCCTTTTGAGTGTCAGATGTGTCTCTGGAACAACTTGAGCAGAGGCTTTTCCTACATTGGGAGAGAAAAAATCGATTAAAATCCTAATGTCACATGAAAATTACAGATGCAGTATCAAAACAAAACAAACTAACAAAAAAAAAAAAAATAAACAATAATATAGAAACGACCCGATCCAGATGTGGCCGTAATATAATGTTTTTCGAATATTTTAATCGACTTAGTCTCATTATCAGTTCAAAAGTTCTGCAAATCAACTCTGGGGATACATGCGAGAGAGGTAAATATCCAAGGAAATTATTTCGAACATTTGATCGCCATATCACCGCATATTTCGTTCAGGAATGAAAGCATTCTTTTGTGTTTCCACGACCTTGTTTATTGTCAAGATTGTTAACTTCTGTATCACATGCAAAAATGGCTTTTGAGTTTCGCTTTCGTTTTCAAATCCTTCTCCTCTACTCTGAACCTCATGGATCTCTCTGTCACAGAAATATCTTCGTTAAAATGTTCCCGCTAAGATGTACAAAGCAAATTTTGAAGTATTTCATATTCATCAACAGAAGATAGCGCCACTACTCGAAGTTTTTCCTTTGCTTTATCAATCTTTCCAGATCTACTTATTTGACCGAAATAGCGGAATCCATTCGAGTCTGGAGTTGAATTTTGAGCTTCCTCAGACTTAAGAGAATTCTAACTTCGATAGTAATGAAACTTCAGAAAGAATTATACATAGGGCGGGATAACCAAGAAATGAATGATAAAAGAAATGAATGATACAGACCAGTGTGGCTTGGTTATCCTGCCCTACGACAAAGTCGCAAAATTAAAGTTCTTCGAGTTTTCAACATCGAGGTCGCCCATAAGCCTATCCGCTCCTTTCCGAGCATGCTTAAAAGCTCAAAAGACAATATCGAGGAAGAAGCTATTAGTAGAATCGTGTAAAAGATCAAAGTACTTATTGTGATTGTGTTTACGTTGGTCAGGCATCGCGCGTGCTAAAAAAACACGCGTTAAAGAAAACACAAAGGCCAAAGCAACATTGGATGGAAACTCTTTGTTGGCCAAACACCATATGCTTCACAGGCTCCAGAGAGATTTGGAGAATGTTGAAATTATTGACAGATCATCGGCGTGGCAACAAGAACTAATTCTTAAAGCTTGGCATTCCGTGCGAGATGGCGACGCTATAAACAAACACAAAGCGCTACCAAAAATATCCAACAACATTGAGAACTTTTAGAGCCATTAAGAATACTCTAGAGAACATTGTTATACTTAAAAAATTCCTTCGAGATTTAGTTTTATCCTACATAATGTAAAAACACCAAGTAGGACATCGTTAGACATTCGAATTTTTTATCTTTGCATTGCTCAGGCTTAAGAAAATTCTATAATCTCGATAATAATGAAACCTCAGGGTCTCTTTGTCTGTACACCGTCAGTTCATAATCGAAATGATGTGTAGTATGGAAGCAGTCTATCTAATGATAATAATACTAATAAGGAGTCTTTATTCATTCATTCATGTAGTCACAGCCTACGTGTGACTTTACAAACAATTAATTTTAAGATCAAGTACAATTAAATAAAACTAAAAAGACACAACGGCAGGTAAAATAAAATCATGTCCTCTGTTTCGCAAAAATCTCTGTTTCTTAGGAGGTAATAGTTGATAAAGGGGTGGGAAGGAGTATCTGTGATTATTTTCCATCTGCACAACCCATGAGCTCCCATTTCCCTCCTTTCTCACCTTCACCGTCATCTTCATCTCGACCTCCATATCCAACATCTTTACCTCCACATTCATCTCTTTGCTAATTTAACAACATAATTTTTGGATAAAACCTACCATAAACAAGCAGTGTTGCAAAGGAACTTGTTGTACTTTCTTTGTTTTTTGCTGTACACTTGTAAGTTCCATTCATCTCTTTTGTAACATTTGGCAATTCCAACAATGACTCTCCTTCTTGATCAGTCTGATGGATACCAGATGGTAGGTCACCATTATTAAAATCCCAGACAAATGTTGGTGTTGGTATACCTGAGGCTACGCAACTAAAGTTGACAGGGTATTCTTCGGTAACAGCTTGGTCTATTGGAGGTGCAATGATCTGAGGAGAGACTTAAAGTAAAAATATCACCAAGTTAAACAAAGGGTCGCATTGTCAAATTTATTTTAACACTCCCCCCCCCCGCTCATTTCAAAATAAAATCAAACTATGTAATTCTCAAACCTATTTTTAATACAAGTTCTTTTCGCAATCAGTTTTCTTCACGTTTGATAAAGGAAGGTATAGCCCAGCCCAATGTGACTTTAAAACAATATGTTTTTCATTTGCCTTAAATATTTCCATCTTAGCAACACTACGGAGTGATAATAGTTTTATTATCTATTAATTCATTTTTCGTTAGTTTTTATAGGCTAGTAGGTGTAACAGGTGTGATGTCAACAAACCATGCAACCATCTCCGAGGATTATCAGTTTCTATGAGTTCTTACGTTTCTTTGATAAATTTTCTCCGATTCTTATTGGCTTAAATTGATCACGTGACGCGATAGTGTTCATCTGTAGAGAGACACTATCAGTCCATAGCGCCCGTCCGCGGAAAATACCAGGATGGATAGTACTCATCCGTGAAAAATTTTCTGTACTAAACATGCAGGCTTCGAAAAAACAATTACTTTTCAATTCTGACAGGTAAAACGTATTATTTAGCCAATGTACGGTTGCGAATTATTAACATTTGTGACAGGCTGTACGCATGAATAGATATTTGATGGATCAGCATTTAGTGGGTTTTTACTGTTTTTTCAACTGGCGCACGGAAGAAAATCAAGTGGTGAGCAATAAAGACAATAGAGTGTTTATATCTCGGAACTATCGGTCTGATAGTTGCCTCATGGAAATTTGATGTTCTTACAACTAGCATACTTGCGTAGTCACCGAACAAATTCGCCGTTTACTCATTTTAGCGATATATAACGATGTAAATACTGACGGCTCGCCGTGAGAAGAGTGAAGGCTTGAAATTTTATTTAAGAACAATTGTGGACTGGACGCCCTTTTAAAAACAAAATATGCCTGGGAAATGCGAGGAATATTCCACAATAATGCAAATGATGAGGAAAGATGATAGTGGAACTGAGCGATTGCATTCAGCGTCTTCGGCTCGCAGTGAGAAGAATGAGGACATGAAATTGTATTTAACAACGCCTGAGGCCTGGATGCCCTGTTAAAAAGAAAAAATACCCGGGAACAGCGAGGGATATTCACAATAATGCAAGTAAAGGCGAGAGATGATCGCAGGAAAGCGATTATGTTAAGCGTCTTCACTCATAGGTACACCTTTAGCCTTTCAAATAGCTTTGAGTCGGTTACACATGTGCTAACTGCGACGAGTATTTTAATTGAAGTCGAAACTCCTTCGAAGTAGGGTCGAGTTAAATTTTAACGTCGCAGCATTACTTCGGAAATGTGATAAAGGCGTTCCCGTAAAATTTCAGGACTCTATCAGTTGGTCTGCCCCATTCAAATAGCCGTTTCTACGCTTTGAGTACCTACGACTAAAGATGACTTTTGAGTCTCGCCTTTTTCTTTCTAACTCTTTCTAAACCTCCTGGACCAGAAATATATTCTTCAAAATGTCTCTGCTAAGATGAACAATGGATGGTAAATGTAACTCAAAGAAGCGACAGGGATGGTTCTATCGAGTTTCTTTCCGACTTCAATTATTTTGATGAAAATATAATTTATGATGTAATGATAGCCACCTTACCCAACTTCAACTTCAAGCCTGAATTCATTGTTATTTACAAAGGAATATGATGACAAGCGAAAAAGAAAGGCCGAGTTCAAATCTTAAAGGAACTTGTACGAGAAATACTGTCACAAAATGATGCTTTGAGATCTATAAGGTCACGTTTTTTTTGACGCTCCAAAAATGTATCCTTTTAACGCCTCAAAAATGAATCGCATTTATTTAAACAAAAGAAACCAATCTACGCTTAATATACCAGGTAACATGAAATCATATTTTAGATGTTACCATTAACTAATAGCATAGAGGGCAAAGCTACTGAATGCTGATTGGTCGATGAAGAGGGTAGTTTTTCTTAATTTTGCTTGTTAAGAGGGCAAAATTAACTTCGCTTTAACTTTGTTTGAAAAAGCGCCAACTTTATATTTTCAAAGTTGAAAGTTTGTTAGCAGGCCTGGTTTTCAATGTTCTGGTATGTTTGTGCCAAAACAAAATTTCATTCAGCTCATTCGCGCATTTCTGGTGATTGATTCTTTGTCAACATTAAGTGGCTTCCTGTCACTGATTACCCAGTATTTTTTTTTCATTACTGACAGTATTTTTTCCCTGCATTTTATTAACATGTAATTAAAATTGGTTCTTGTAAAATTAAGGATTAATATCACTTGCGTTTTCAGAAGTTGCTGAAATTGCACTCGTCGCTGCGTGACTCGGGCAATTTCAGCAACTTCTGAAAGCACGCGGGAAATTAATCCTTAATTTTACTCGGCCCCATGCAATTACCAACACTTATAACCAATAACCATGAACCACAGCTTTTTTTCGATAGTGTCAATGAGAACCATACCTCCGATAACTTCAATCCAGTGAGTTGATGTCTTGTTTCCTAAGCTGTTTGTGGCGCTGCATGTGTATTGGCCTGAGTCCTCCAGCCTCGCTTGACGAATCGTGAAAGTGCTCTTGTTGCCGATATTCACCCCATCTTTAGTCCAGAGTACCTGTATTGGGAAACCTCTCAGCAAGCAATCGAACTGAAGGGATGAATTATACGAAAGCGACCGGTTCGTGAGATGAGGATTAATTTCAGGAGGACCTGGGCAAAGAATTGACAGATACAATTCAAAGTAGGTCAAAATAAAAACAGAAAATGAAAAGAATAACTAAAAGTTTAAAATATGTAATATTTGATCCGAAAGTAGCTTCCCTTTCCTTCTCATTGTTTTTGGTGCTGCACGTGCATTGACCAGCGACTCCATAATTTACCCGATTTTTCGGTAAAGGTGGGCATGTTTTTGTTACCAAGTAACTTTCCATTCTTTGTCCAATTTAACCCTGGCTGAGGAAAATCCCTCACATACAAACTCATTTGAATTGTAGAACCGAGAGTTGTTTTAGGAGGACCTTTTATTTTTGAAAAAGAAAAAAATAAATGAATGTAAAAATTGAGCCCCATCCCCTCCTTCCCTCTTCTCCCTTTTAATAGTAATGATAATAATTCAATATTTATATTGCGCAAATTAACATTGTGATCAGGTGCGCATTACAATGTTTTGCGGGGGACTTAACAGACTGCTCACATCAGTTTACAATTTTTCGTACAGACTAATTTTAACATATGCCGCCAATTTCCATAGATAGGCCAGACCACAACACTGGGAGCTACGTTCCCTAATCTTTATGATATGTGTGTGGGTTCTTTAATGTCCCTTCATAACCAGTACAGAGAGGATGCGGGAGAGTGTCCCTCACAATCTCGGTTTCTTTCTCTTCCAAGCTTTCCCCTGCTGCAAAAGCCATAATTATTTTGGTAAAGGAAACAGAAAGCGTTCGATGGCTAAAATCACGCCTATTCTACAAGAAAAGGTAATGATCTTTCCTCTCTCAGAATAAATAAAAATTGGTTTCTTTTGCCTGACAGAATATAAATCTAGCATTTACTCGGAAAAAAATTTAAGTCTAGCAAAAATAACATTTTCATTCAACGCGCCCACGCTTCCTTTTCTTCTTCTGCTTCCTCTTTTTTTCTCTTAATTGTAAATAAATAAAGGGGGGGGGGGGGTGGAGGGTTTGAGAGTATTTCGACCAGCACCTGAGTCCTTTAATTTATCCTCATGCATAAAACTACTTACACTTACAAGGCCGTAATTCCCGAGTTCTTGAGCAGTTAAATTCTACAAGTTAGGTTATCCAGAATAAACGATTAGAACTTAAGTCATCTTAATTATGTCTAAGAATAAATATGTCGTTAACAACTCCTAAAGGTTCGTGGACAATTCCCAGTTAAGAAAATTGGAAACGGACAAGGAATGAATTTAATCTGGCGTTAATATCATTTCAACATACATTTGGTACTTTTCTAACCGTAGTAATAGTTAATGTTTTGTTATCAATCTATTGTGCATGGTGTAACGCCCTTGAGTTTAATAACAGCCTTTATTACACATAACACGAGAATTTTATTCCATAAAGCTCCTTTGTAGAAATCTATACGCTTATTTTCACAAGTGAAAAAGCCTATACAGCCAATCAGAATAGCGCACAGCTCTTTGACGTGTCGAAGTATAACCAATCGAATTGCTCGAAAGAATTCCACGCGAGATCGCTTGCTCGTGCTGGAAAAATTTTTGCAACTGCCCGCATGCTCGTATTCTCGATTTAAAAGCCCTCGCAAAATTTGGCCTTTGCTCGAATTGCTTTATTGATATCGCACTTAGATTAAAAAGAAAAAAAACTTTTGTAAGTGCAGTTTTCCCTTCAGCACTTCAGTCCCTTGATGTACATATATTGCGATACTTTCCATTGCCATTAAATTTGCATTGTTAATGGATTTTTGTTTCTAATTTGATTTCAGAAAATTATTTCAATGGAAATTTTCGTGTTATGTGCAATAAACGACTCACGACATAGAGAGTGCTTTATACGGGGTTTTGTTCAGTTGTTGCTTGTGTCAAAAGCCCTCACTCGCTCGTTCTGGTTTTCGACACAAACAACTCGTGAATAAAACCCCGTATACCGCACTTTCTATGACGTAAACTATATATATTGCATTCTACACATAAGAAATTTGACTAAAAAAATTGAATAATTTCATTTGAATAAAATCTTAAAAATGCGTTTGTAGTCTTTAAAAAACGACGGGCACAAACCCGAAATTGCACTTTCGAATTACAAGTTTAAAAATCTCGTCTTGTCACTTACCAACTCTTTCCCGGTTCTGTCCGCACTCTTTGCAGCCACCAGTCCATGATGACCACGCCATGCAGCCTTTAAAAACAAAAAATTGTGCGAAGAAGTCATTTAGGGAATTTTTTTTACCAGCTACATAAATATGTATCTTTCCGTAAAGGATACCAACGTAAATAATTATCATCGTTGATATCCTAGGTTTCTAATTTCCAAGGAGACTTGTAACTAAAATCACCACGTTAAAAAGATAGATGGCTTGAAGCTTATAAATCAGCCGCCTTACAGGTCCCGATTTATAAGCATCATCCATGTACTCCCAACATCCCTCAGGGATTTATCATGTTATCAAGCCCAGGAAAATGAGGTGTTTTTTTTCTATTGCTCAGATTGATGCCTGAACAAAAATAATTCAAAAAGAAAACTAGGATTATAACGCTGGCACCTCTTAATTCCCCTGTTGCTGTTAAAGCCCCACCAGAGGGTGATCGAAGCCATTCATATACAGTCGCTGTAACAGTTGAAAGTTTTGCTTCTATTATGAATCTTTATATTGGCATTAATCACTGATCCAGAGAGGAACACTGTGTCCTGTCTGTATCCGTTTATTGGGAACCATTCGTTTGTTCAATCGACTTTATTATTCCTACTGATAAACGATAGTTCAAGCATGACTACTTACAGTCTGTTGAACAAGTCAGGATGAGGACGTTAGGTGAAAATGAAAAGAAAGATTGCACATTCGGTAAGTAAATGATTGGCTTAATGAGTTGGATTACTTGGCAACCAAATCATAAGCTTCATGAACTAGCTGAACATGTCGTACTCACCCGCTTATAAATCATGAAAGTATTCCATGAAAGAGGAAAAAAGTTTTAAAAAACCGGTTAATTCACTTATCATTTATTTAGTTATTTTTAACTAACCAATTTGTTTGGTTTCTCTGATATTTCTTTTACGTTGAAGTAAAATAAAATAACAGGGTTTATTGCAACAAACGATGAGTCCTAACGTCAATGACATCTGATGATGATCACACGTACAAATATCGTTTATTACAGGACCCAGGTTTTCAGAAATACATTAAAACTGACCAAAACTGACAGCAACGTCTATTCGACTTTCAAACTTAAAAGAAACAGCTATCGGTTATCGTCAGTGCTATACACCCCGAGATCCCCTTGCTCTGTTTACGATTGCAATTTGCTAGGTGGTTCAGAGAGTCAATGATGTATATTAACGCACAGGAGAGTTCTTCATTAATAGAAACGGATGATTTTGATAGTTACCTTCCCTTTCGGCTTGGCAGAAAAGATGAGATAAGAAAAGATAAGCAGTTAATGATGTGAATCTAATATAAATATAGTTTTAAGTTATGGAATAGCAATCCATCGTAAGTTCTAACCCAAGTTTTAGAAAAACCAAATGGGTTTCAGTAACTCATGAAAAGCGAGTGATAGCACCGAACTTTACATTTCTCAAACATTTTCCCAGGAGGCGATGCTGGAAAATAAGTCCCCAAAAACTTAATTGAAACTGCTAAGTATGGGTTGCCTTTCCAGAGTACAGTTCAACTGTTTCATGTGGATTTCGCGTTATGAGTTTGACTGATTTTATGCGTCGTATGACCTGTCCTTGAAGTACTTGCGGTTTTAATTCTATTCTGCGCCTGTCAGACTTTATAGTGGTCGTAGGTCAGACACCACAAAGATTTTTTTTTGCGGTCCTTGACGAGATTCAGTCGGTATCACATAGGAGAAAACGTTTGCATGTTCCTCAATAGCGGTCACAAGTAGTTCAGAGGATAAAAAGCCAGTTATGGTAGTCTTCGCCAAATCACAGGAATACACCTTACACACACTGATGGATGTCAGCGTAGATTTCATTCATCAAAACTATACTATTAAAAGGAAAAGCAACATCTTATGGGTGTGTCGGTATTAATCCAGGGTCACATCGAACTTTTACCACGTCAAATCTTCCATTTGAACTTCTCAGCCAATCAGATGCAAAATCTGAATACTCATAATTGCGTGCTTTTTACAGCACTGAATTCCAACTGCTTACGTTGAATATGAGTTCCTAGAGCTTTCACTGATTTTTCATTGTCCTAATTCCCCGCTACGAGAAGTTAACCTGGAATAAGAATAAGCATTCCATAATCAAGTGCATTTTCGAGCACTCGATGCCGGATGCTTCCTTTAGATTTAAGTTCCCTTAGGGGGGGAACAATAGCTTACAATAACTTGGATTTTTTAAAACTTAATTGACATGGCCTCCGAAAAGAATAAATAATTCACACCGGATCCTATTGTAAATGAGATCTTAAGTGCTAAAGAAAAATTGTCGTTTTAAGCATGAAAATTAAGAATTATAAAAAATTCCACGGGAAAAGTTTTCTTCAACTTACCAGCTAAGTGATTGAAGTGGCATGTAAAGTAAAACATATAAAAATAAATTAAAACATGCACCCTCAGCTCAAATACATCCATATAATTTGGATATATCAACAAAGTTGAAATGGTAAATTGGCCACCGTAACGATTACAAAAGCTGACGCTTCGAGCGTTAGTCCTTCGTCGGAGCGAATAGAGGAATTGTGGGTTGTGTGTGCTTTTAAAGGCAGAAAATGGAGCTACTTTATTGGTGGGAACATGGCAACAAGAAAAACACGAATAACTTAGTGGAATGAAAAGCGTTCGTTGATCCCTGTGGGATTCAGACTCCCGGTTAGAAAGATATATTATCAAACAACAAACATATGAAATACATATATATGAACTGCGGTTATGAAACGTATATGTGCACGATCCTTCGCAGTAAAGCACTATTTAAGCAATAGTGAAAATCAGACCTGAAAAAAATTCAGGCCTGTACGGGATTCGAACCACTGACCTCTGCGATACTAGTGCAGCGCTCTACCAATTGAGCTAACAAGCCAACTGGGAGCAGGCCATCAAATTAATTCGACATAAACCCGTAGATGATAAATCAAACAACAAACATATGAAATACATATATATGAACTGCGGTTATGAAACGTATATGTGCACGATCCTTCGCAGTAAAGCACTATTTAAGCAATAGTGAAAATCAGACCTGAAAAAAATTCAGGCCTGTACGGGATTCGAACCACTGACCTCTGCGATACTAGTGCAGCGCTCTACCAATTGAGCTAACAAGCCAACTGGGAGCAGGCCATCAAATTAATTCGACATAAACCCGTAGATGATAAATCAAACAACAAACATATGAAATACATATATATGAACTGCGGTTATGAAACGTATATGTGCACGATCCTTCGCAGTAAAGCACTATTTAAGCAATAGTGAAAATCAGACCTGAAAAAAATTCAGGCCTGTACGGGATTCGAACCACTGACCTCTGCGATACTAGTGCAGCGCTCTACCAATTGAGCTAACAAGCCAACTGGGAGCAGGCCATCAAATTAATTCGACATAAACCCGTAGATGATAAATCAAACAACAACAAACATATGAAACATATGT